CAGATCCCTGCATTGCATTTGCAATAGAGACTCTCACTGGAATAGGTTTTGACAATTCCAGGAGCAATGGTGAGCATGCTTCAGGGGACCTGGCTACTCCAAAAGGTCATCCTGGGGACGTACAAGCAGACAATAAGAGCAGCAGAAAGCAGGAAAGCGGCAACCTTTTTATACCAGAAGATGGATGGAAAGTTGCAAAGGACGATAACGCTAGACAGAAGTCCGGATCCCCAACTGAGTTGCCTTTTGGGGGTTCATGGCCCGACCCGTGCATTGAATTTGCTATTAAAACTCTCACGGGTGCAATCCCAGTAGACTACGATCCCCATATCGAGGAGTACTTTCAGCAGCAACTAAGCTCATCAAAAACTCAAGGAACAAGTGACTTGACCTTGAAAAATGTTGGTCTAGATAACTTCTGCCAAACGGATGATTTGTGCGAGCAATTCTGTCATCCGGAGGTCCCCATGCTTAAGAAACAAGCGCTTTCTGAGCCTCGACTCACCAAGAGTGGAAGTTTACATAGTTCCGGTGGATCAGATGTAAACCAAACGGGGAGGCAGAGACACTGACTTCAACCCTTGTACAGCTACTCCCCCTGCCTCCCTCCCTCCCTCTAACCCTTTTTACTTTTCTTGTGTCGTCTTTTAGGAAGAGACCGCATTGGTGAAGTTTTCGCTGTTTGCATCTCTGTGTACGTGTAACACTAGTGTCTGTAACTTTAGTACGATGTATTCATGCTATTTTTCCATTATGTTAGCTAAGTTTGTTCACTAATTATGTTTAAGATGTAAACATGTATAGACTCCATTAATAAACCTGAGGCAAAGACCGTCAAGGAGAACAGAAGTTTTTATTTTCAAATTTTCGGATCATAAGTGTAGTATATGGAGTTTGGTTGACATCCCGAAAAATTCGAAGCCAAAGACGGATATTGACCGAAAAATTCTAGGAAAAGTTTAAATTTGGTGATCAGTAGAGGTCTGAGCTTTTTGTTGCTGGGTTGTTTTTATGTATTTTCTTACTTAAGGACCCAGTTTTGTTGTTGTACTCGGAATTATTTGATTGTCATTGATAACTGGAGATTTTGGAAGTGTAATAGTAAGGCTAAAAACGATAATTGAAAACTAAATTCATAGAATCAAAATAACAGACACTTTTGTAGGAAACACAGTTGCATTCAACCATGTAACCAAATTCTTAAAATACCTAGCTATGATACGAGGTTCTTACTTCTTAGGAGAGAATGATTTGTCTGTTGAAGGTTTTGTTATGTTCTTTTTTTCACCGGAGCAATTGTGCGCCTGCTTGTTGGTTTTTATACAGTAAACATTGTAGCGACTCTTACAAAATTTCCTTCATACTCTGTTTGTGTTTGGAAGATACATGTGCTACAATTCCAAACACAAACCAGAGTATGAAGGAAAATTCTTTTGCAAGAGTTGCTATAACGTCTACTGCACAAAAGACGACAAAGAGGAGCACAATTGCTCCCGTGAAAAAGGTAAAAGAACAAAGCTCTCGACAAACAACTCATCATCTTCTAAGAAAGAAGAACCTCTACCTGGATATTTTAAGAATTTGTTGCATACTTGAATGCAACCGTGTATCCTACGAAGGTGGCTTTGTTATTTTGATTCTATGAATTTAGTTTTCACTTGTTGCTTAGATTTCATAGCTTTGATAGCTCTTACAAGAAATTAAGCAAACAAATAGAAAAAGAAAACAAGAAAACAAGAAATTAAGCTAACAAATAGAAAATAAAAATTAAAATAAAATCAAAGCATAAACATTTATAACTAGAGCAATGAAATGCAAAATGAGAGAGCAAATAAGAACAAGGTCCATTAGGTAGATATATATTGGCACATCCTGTGACAATCCGTCCCTAGTTCTACGATTTTATAAATTTTAAAAGTGTGAATTTACGAAAATGCTCTAGAGGAAGGTTTTGACTTTCGTTGATCAACGTATAGTGAGACATACTAAATATTCTTTTAGCGTATTTCTGAAGTACTCAACGATACGAACGCGTAAGCGCAAGCATAAGTGAATTTGGAGTTACGGTTAAAGTTTTTACGGAGCTACGAACCCGAAAGTATTTTGAAGAAATAACTATTTTAATTATATTATATTATTTTATACTACAAAATTATTAGGCCACATGTGTGTGGCTGGGAGGAAAAAAAGAGAGAAAGAAATAGAAACTGTCGAATGGCAGCAGGAGGAGGAAGAAGAAGAAGAAGAGAGGGAATCGGGAAAGAGAAGAGGAGATGAGGTGACTGACCAATGAGGACCAAGAGAAAGGAGAGAAAGGAGAGGAACATGGGGAAATCCACCCAGCCAAACCGGGTCATTTTGTGACCCGCTGCTTGACCCTACTACAGAAGTGATTTCCGACGCCTTTTCAGACGATTTCTCCAACGATTAGAAGCCACACACCACCTGGAATTGACCTAGCGCTCCTTCCTCTTCCAATCTCATAAAAAAACCGAGTTAAATGAGTTTGATTTCGGGATAAACTCACCGGCGGGTTCATGGGGTTACGGCTCAAATTCCTCTATTTTTGAAGTTAGTACAGTCGACCACCACCATCAACATACTCCTTTTGAGGTCCGGAACAAAGCCCAAACAACTATAGGGGCGGCGGAGCACCGGAGGTGATGGATCGAAGCCACCAATTTCTAAGGTTTCCGACAGGTTTTAGTGAAATTGAGGCTTTTCCGGCCAAATTGGACCTGGCGACATGTATAAATCTTTCTCTACTCATTGAGATCTTCATTGTGGCAAAATTTGGAAATTTTTAGAAATAGTTGGATTTTTCGGCGAGTCGGGGCAGCCGGCCGTCGTGTACGGCGGTGTGTGGCGGCGACGCATGGGCTGAGGCATCCCCTGACCTTCCTAGATTAAATTTGATTCTCTAATTCTGTATGTGTAGTACGATTGACGAATTTCCATCATTTGAACCTAGTTCCATTAAGGTCCGTCACTTGACCATTTTATGAATCGATAATTCGATCGTTGGATCGTCACCAAACTTTAGTACGTTATTATATGTAATATTTGAGGACCATAGAAACTTACGGATTGAGAATCTGACGTATGGATCTTCTCGAATTGGATATGTAAGTTCGTAAAATAAAATGTTGATCGCCACTTGAATTGGCAATTGGCGGAGATCCAACTGTTGGATCGTAATGAAACTTTAGTATGATGTTTTAGAAGCACAATGTGGATCTTTGGAAGTACGGACCAGAAATCCGAGATGCGGATCTTCCGGATTGAGTTACGTAGCAGAGTTTTCGTATCGACGAGGATTCGTGGCAAGTCTTGGTATTGGAGATTACCTTCGATGGTATGCTTTTCAATCCACTCTACTGTACTTTACTTATGCTATGACGCCACATGTGAAATGGGTTCATTCCCGCTCACAACGCACTCTCGTATTTAGGCACCTTTAGGTTTAAATTTATTCACATTTTCCATATCACTACATTTTATGGTTTCGTCACCTTCTAGGTGTCGGCCAACACAACTCGATTTAGAGCCTTAGTGGACAATCTGGGTCAGGATGTGTCACATCCAAATGCAAAAGACATAACTCTTCTTGCAGTCTGCATGACTTTGGTAGGTAAGAAATTTTGTAAGGAAGAATAGCAGCCACACAAGAGTTTGAATGAAACTAACCATTTGACTCAAAGCACACCTTTTTCATGATTTTATGGAAGAAAATAAAAAAGCATCACACATTACTGCAAACATGTATATATATGGCTCGTTTGAAAGTGTTTTTAAAATAACTAAAAACCGTTTTTATGAAAGTGCTTTTGGAATCAATCATTAGGAAAAATGCTAGTGTATCATGAAAAATCATTTGAAGTGCTTTTTGCAAAAACGCATAATTGGTGCTTCTTGCAAGAAGCACTTCAAGTCACTTTGGAGCCCAAAACACTTTCACTAAAAGTGTTTTTAGTTATTTTAAAAACACTTCCAAACGAACCCAAACTCAACAGACTAAACACTACTAGGTTTCTTTGTCAAGGTTTCTTTTCTTTCAACCAACAAATAAATCTAGACATGTACAAGTATCCACTTATAAGTCGTATGAAGGATCTCCATAGCGGACTTTCTTCTCGTAGGCAATCGCCCTAGAGCACCTATAATTGGCCACTTGGACATGTTAGTTCATTATGTTAGTCAAGATATCATTTCACCTCAACAGTCATATTACGATATGTGTCGTTACAATTAAACGAGATATGTGAACATTGTAAAACAAAAACATTTAGATGAAATTAACAACAGATAAACAAAAAATTTAGGCGTTTTATGTGCGTATTTAAGTAATTCCTTCTCAATGAGCTTGGAAACCCACGAATTTGTATCTGATCATTCGACATAATTCGAAGTTCGCAGCGAAGGAATTGTCACAAAGTTGAAAACTTTCATGTGGAGCTCGAATGATACATAAACAAAACAAAAACTTTTTTTTTTTTTCTGTCCAAATCCAAAACTCAAGACTTTCTTGCTCTCCCTTCTTCTCTTATCATATTGGTGATCTTGATCATAATGTTGAGGATTTCTTGGTCTGCCTTCATTTATCATATTAATTTTTAGCCGTTAGATCTTTCACCCAACAATCAAGATTTAATGGCTCAAATCCCCCAAAATGAAAAAGAAAGGAAGAAGCCAAGTTATTTTGCTTTGAGGATATGTCCCCCAAAATGGGATATGGCCACACTGAACATCGCCGGAGAAGATTGAAAACCAGATGTTTTCGGTTTCGGCTAAAAATTTTCCCAGTTTAGCGCAGAAGAAATGTCATGAATTTTTATTTTCTCAAGCTCCATTCTAGAAAATCGTCTCTTAACAAAAAGGTGGAAAATTTGTTGCATATATAAACTCTCCATTGAGCTTCCATTGTAAAACAAAAAAAAAAGGATACAACGCATAAAAGTGACAGAAGTAAATAATACATAAGAAGAAACATAACAACTTTTTTACAACTGCAAAGTAGGCACGACCCAATATGGAGGTTGCATGGTCTTCTCCAAAAGTCTCTTAGCCTCTTGGGTGTAAGCCTGCGAAAAGCTTCGACTTTCAATGTTGTACACGCCATAATCATCATATATGCGGTTCTTTGGATAACTGTTGATACGATCAAAATCATAGTTGAAGTATATGCAATTTGGCAGACATCCTGAAAAATTCAAGGCCTTGACAGATATCGAAAAGTTATCGCCCAAAAATAGAGCAACATCACCTAAGGTTTCTGTCTCAATCCACTTGTACTTGTCAAAATCCAATTTAAATATCCTAACTTCCTTTGTCCAACGACCACCATGATCAAATTCAACAACCCTTTGAACCATCAACCATTCGTTATCATCTAAAACCACGATATATGTCTTTACTTCGTATTCGAAATCTTCCAAGGTATCGCCAGCAACCAATTGTTTATTAGAGATGGATTGATCAGTAGTAATATCAAAAGAAAAAAGTCTTCCCATTTGTTCAACAACATAAAACTTATCTCCAACATGAACAACATCTTGGAGAGAGCTAAATTTTTCATCAACAATGTAAGTCCATGATGAATCTTTGTTGAGTCTAATGAAAGCCAAATCATGACCAGTTGGCTCATATATGACCATAACAATGCATTTATCGGCCTCTAATATTGGATCTGCTGACAATGTCGCCTTATTTACAAACTCAGCCTTTACCCGGTCAAGCAGACGATCTGGACAAGCTAGAGGAGGAAGATGGATGATGGAATCTGCTCTCTTTTGCCTCCCTTTCACCCTTAAAAACGGATTTATAAGAGTCACTACTAAATCCATATTCATAGCTATTAACCATCCTTTTGAAGAACCACAGAGTCGCTTCTTCGGAAATTTCAGCTGCAAACCAAGAACCTGGTCTTCCATGGGGTTGTATAAATTCCACTCGGGTTTTTTAGGAGTTTGGATCAAGAGTAGCGGAGGATTATGACGACAACTTGACATCTCGTCAAATTTTCTTTTATTATCTTTTGCAACGCAATACCATGGCATACAAACAACACTGAATCGAATATAATCTAACCGTGACACTAAGTTCTCTAAAATTGAATCCAAAAGATGCATAGGAAGATTTGCCCAATCTGGCAGGAAGAAAAATTATATATGTTAAATCACATAAAATTGCAGACATAAATATAGATGTTTTATGCACGGGACAAACCACATCTTTTTTACTTTCAAAGAAAAACCCTATTTCTTTTATTTCAAGATATAAATAGTATGTATATATGAAACACCGTCAAGGTAGTCAGGCACTTGGAAAACAAATCAGTCACAAACAGAGAACGACGACTAAAAGTTGACCATAAATTTAGAATGCTTTAACCCTAAACACCGATATTTAATATCTAAAAACTGATATGTATCTAAAGTAGGATATCATGATATAACAAGGTAAAAAAATGTACAAAATAAAGGGAATTATGAAGAGAAAACACACCTGATGCCATGATTTCAAAACTGTGAACAAGTTTTTCTTGCGCAGAAGATTAATTGTAAATAATTGACTAATAGTCCCTAGTTATACATCCCGGCGTGTATAATCCATAAACTGAGTGAGTAGCAGGACTACAAGGATGATAAGGATTACAAACAAAATGGTCTTCAATATGAATTATGAAACTAATTGCCGACTGGTCTTCTATAAGAATTAGGATTTGTTTTCTTGTTTCAGTTTCTTGTGCTTAGACACTTTATTACTTTTCCCTTGTAGACCATGAAAAGTGTGTGATGCTCCTAAGTTCACACTTCACATGCTTTGAGTTTCTATAACTAAATTCATGCTTTGAGGGTGAGCCTTTGTGCAAAGGTTGCTCATTTGTGACCGAAAGGTCACAGGTTCGAGTCATGGAAACAATGTCTTTGTAAAGCAAGGGTAAACTCGTACAAGTTTCTTTTCTTCTAACCAACAAATAATTATAGACAAACATAATGGACTAAACTCGTACAAGTATCGACTTATAAGTTGTACGTCAACGAGAAGGATCTCCATACCTGACTTTCTTCTCGTGGGCAATCGCCCTTGAGCACCTATAATTGGCCACTTGGACGTGTTGTAGTGCATTATGTTAGTCTAGATATTGGTCCACCTCAAAAGTCATATCAACGATATGCGTCGTTATAATTAAACGACATAGGTAAACATTGTAAAACAAAAAAATTTAGATGAAATTAACGAAATGACTGAAAACTTACTGGCAATTACTGAGCTCAGTTGAAAAGTTACATGCTCCAGGCGAGGCGGGCACTGAATTAGGCAGCTTAAATCCTTCAGAAGCCAAAGGTTTAGAACAAAATGAACAGGATGGTGATTCCAAAAATATTGAATGTATTTCAGCTCCTGCAGGTGGAGACCCGCCGGGTAACCAATGCCTGGAAAGTGGGCTGATAAAACATGAAAGAAACCGTCCCGGCGTCTGCAAATCAAAGAACAAGAAAGAGCTTATCTTGCCTCGCCGTGCTTCAAAGCGACTAGCTGGAGTTGAAGTTGGTCCAGTTCCAGAACTGAAAACAAGTACTCGTGCATGTCGAGTTGCAATTAAACAGTCAGGGGATGGAGTACGCCATAAAACTGAAGGTTCTTCCCCTGGTGATTTGCCCAGTTGCGGATCCCAACAGCCTGATTATCTTGAGGTTGAGCCAGAAAAGAGCATACAAAATGTGGAACGAGCAATTAATGGTGCGAGAAGCAAAGGTGTGCTTCTGTTTTCCCATTGGGGGGCCGAAGTAGCCCAAAAGAGCATGGAGGAAAACTTGAAACCAATGATAAGGCTGAAGAGAAGCCAGGACTTCAACCAGACTTGCCTCTTGCGGATTTCTTCACAGATCCCTGCATTGCATTTACAATACTCTCACTGGAATAGGTTTTGACAATTCCGGGAGCAATGGTGAGCATTCTTCAGGGGACCTGGCAACTCCAAAGGTCGTCCTGGGGACGTAGAAGCAGACAATAATGAGCAGCGGGAAGCAGGAAAGTGGCAACCTTTTTATCCCAGAAGGCGGAGGGAAAGTTGGAAAGGATGATAGCGCTAGACAGAAGTCAGGATCCCCAACTGAGTTGCCTTTTGGGGGTTCATGGCCCTATCCATGCATTGAATTTGCTATAAAAACTCTCACTGGTGCAATCCCAGTAGACTACGATCCCCATATTGAGGAGTACTTTCAGCAGCAACTAAGCTCATCAAAAACTCAAGGAACAAGTGACTTGACCTTGAAAAATGTTGGTCTAGATAACTTCTGCCAAACGGATGATTTGTGCGAGCAATTCTGTCATGCTGAGGTCCCCATGCTTAAGAAACAAGCGCTTTCTGAGCCTCGACTCACAAAGAGTGGAAGTTTACATAGTTCCGGTAGATCAGATGTAAACCAAAAGGGGAGGCAGAGACACTGACTTCAAACCTTGTACAGCTTATAGAATTGTAGCAACCTGCTTCCACGCCCCGCTTTCACCCTCCCTCTAACCCTTTTTACTTTTCTTGTGTCGTCTTTTAGGAAGAGACCGCATTGGTGAAGTTTTCGCTGTTTGCATCTCTGTGTACGTGTAACACTAGTGTCTGTAACTTTAGTACGATGTATTCATGCTATTTTTCAATTATGTTAGCTAAGTTTTTCAGTAATTATGATTAAGATGTAAACATATACAGACTCCATTAATAAACCTGAGGCAAAGACCGTCAAGGAAAACAGAAGTTTTTATATGGAGATTGGTTGACATCCCGGAAAATTCGAAGCCAAGACGGATGTTGACTGATTTGCGCCCACGGAGAGAGCCTAGTCTCCGATGCCTTTTGGCTCAACATGTTGCACAAGGGCCGACTGATCATGATCATCGTTCAACACCAACTTATATACCTTAAAACTCACGGTGATAAACTTTGAGTCGTCAAAAACAAAATTTGTGTGACTTGGACTGAAACAAAGTTGACTTGGTCTGACCTTTTTGTTGCTTGGTTGTTTTTATAAATTTTCTTAATTAAGGGCCCAGTGTTCTTGTTGTACTCGGAACTGTTTGATTGTAATTGATAACTGGAGATTTTGGAAGTATCCTAGTATGACTAAAAACGATAATTGAAAACTAAATTCATAGAATCAAAATAAAATGGGGGTTTTGAACTTTAATCCTTGAAGAAGATTAAAATTCAATAAAAATCTGGTGTTAGATTGGATATTGATTTTAGTCCTCTAATGTGCACTTAATTCAATTCATATTACATTTTTGTTTTAATATTTAATAGATATCTTATTTAATGTCATTACATTAAAATTAAAATTTATTGTTATACATATTTTAATTCATTAATTTTATTTTACTTCCTCTAATTAGTGTACCTAAACGTTCGTATCATAATATATTTTACTAAATTAATTAGTGTACCGAAATGTCCGTACCTAAACATATTATACTAACTTAGTGTACCGAAATATTCATACCTAAATATATTGTAATGAATTAGTGACACATAAGAAAATATAGAAAAACATAAGTGTACTAAAAAATCTCTATGAAAATATTTTCTTATATAAGATACTTACCATAATGAGAATTAAAATTTATAATATTTTCATAAGATTTAATTTATGAACACCATAAAATTATAAATAAAACAGAGAAACATTGAATACATATGTTGACATTAAATAGAGTCTAGGGACTAAAATCAAATTTTAATCTTGTATAAAACATTTTTCTAAACTTTATCTTATTTAAGGATTAAAATATAGTTTTCTAAAATAAAAAAGACACTTTCTGGACCAAGGACCATTTCATCATCTTCTTTTGGACGGAATGGATCTTTCTTAACGTCCAGAGAACGAACGACCATTGGCGTGCTGAGTGGATAAGCCTTGTCCATACCAAATCGCTTTAGGATTTTTTTCAATGTAAGCTAATTGGTGGACCAAAATTCCACTAGCACAATGCTCGATCTGCAGGCCGAGACAAAATTTTGTTTTCCCAAGGTCTTTCATTTCAAATTCGTTTTTCAGATATTTAGTAGTTTTATTGAGCTATTCAGGAGTTTCAACTAGGTTCATATCATCGACATATATTACCACTATAGCAAATCCAGAGTTGGATTTCTTAATGAATACACAAGGGCAAATGACATTGTTGACATACCCTTCTTTGATCAAATACTCACTGAGACGATTATACCACATTTGTCCGGATTGTTTTAGCCCATACAATGATCGCCTTAATTTGATTGAGAGCATGCCTCATGATTTGTTAGTTGTTTTAGGTGACTTAAGTCCTTCTGAGACTTTCATATATATGTCAGTATCTAATTCTCCATATAGATACGCGGTGATGACATACATAAGTCGCATGTCAAGTTTTTCTGAAACCACTAAACTTATTAAGTAACGGAACGTAATTGCGTCCATTACAGGAGAGTATGTCTCCTCATAATCAATTTCAAGTCTTTGCGAAAAACCTTGTGCAACGAGTCATGCTTTATATCATGCAATCTCGTTTTTCTTGTTGCGTTTCCTTGTGAATACCCATTTGTAACCCACGGGGTTTACACCAGGTGGGGTTTGGACTACTGGTTTAAAAACATTTCACCTTTCCAAGGAATTTAATTCTGCCTGGATTGCATCTTTCCACTTAGGCCAATCTTGTCTCTGTTTACATTCATCAACAGAGCGGGGCTTAATATCATCACTTAATATGATTTCAGTGGCTACTGCGAATGCGAACATATCGTCGATGATTATTTCATTATGATCCCACAATTCATTAGTACATGCATAATTTATGGAGATTTCTTTGCTCTCATGTACTTCTGTCTCTTCAGGGACATGTGTCTCATCAAGGACATTTTCTTTTTCTGGATGTCCAGAATCATGAATTGTTGATTTGTCAT